GCCAGGCTGTTTTGCATGTTTGCATTAGAAAGCCCCTGGGGAAAGAGACCTCAATTACCCTCCTGTCTGGATAAGTGTCCGGACAATTCGTCATAACACTGGTACAAAGGCACTTAATTCGATAAAGTCACTCCTCGAATCAAGACACTGGTGTTTGCTTCATTGCCCAAGATTTTTTCTGGTTTCAGTTCGCCGCACCCTTTTCACCTCAGCAGAATTTAAGCCCCATGGGTGAGGTATACACAGTCACGAGACAAGGTGTCGCAGAAATTTGACGATTAGCTGAAATACTTGGGAGGCGCAGACTGCTAGCATAAGTAATTTGGACTTTACTTGGGAATAAGTATTCAGGCCAACTGGACAGCGAGGAAAATGAGAGGCTTTCACTGATATGGCCATACCTGCCCTGAGTAAACCTGGGTACGAAAATACTAATATAATACAAAAGCCAAAAAGGAAATCAGGATGTGACTGTCTGCTTTAGAAAGGAGGGTCACCTGGGACCCTGACGTTCTCTTGGCTTGCGGTAAGATAGCCTCAATCTGCCTTCACGTAAATTTCCCCCCACTCTCTGAGACTAGCCCTCATGAAGAATTAGAAATGTGTCAGTCATCCAGAGAGAAAAAAACCAGGGTTTCCCACACCAGAATGATGCTCCTGAGATCCTAAAAGGAAGGCCACAGGAGGGTCAGGAAGCAAGAGGTATGCCCTGGAAAGAGAGGAAAAGAAAAGCCTAAAGTCACCTGGTGGTGGGGAAGGGTGGCAGGGAACACGGTGGCAGGAGTGCCCTTGACAGCGGGTGGGAAGGGACTGGGCATGGAGAGGACTGACTGGCAGCCAGCGTGTGCTGCTGCATGGAAGCCACGCCAGGCTTGCAATAGAGAACCTGCTCTAGGAAGAGCAGGTCTGTCCTCATTGGTGCTTCACTTCACCCAAACCCCTTCATGAGCACCCCCACATGGCCTCATATTACCTCCCCGATAGCCCGAACCATTTATAATTGCCCCCAAAGCAGAGTAGGTCCTTCCTACTCAGCAACACTGTTGGGGACACGTCCAAGCCCCTTTATGTAGGTGAGGTTAAGAGGAGAAATATCCCACCCATCACAAATTCACGTCCATGCTAATAAATGTATTGAAATTTAGTCCACCCGCATGTTTTCAGGAGGTGAGCGAGTGGCAGTGGAATCCAGCTAGTCCTCTGAACCAAGGGCTCTTGCTCGCCTAGTCCTAAGTGCTGACCGCGTCTTAGACTGAGACTGCACACAGCGGACGAGATGCTGGGCACGCAGACAGGGACAGACAGCAGATGGATGGACGCTGGCCCAGGTCTCCCTCTGCAACTCCTGGAACAGCCTCAAGGACCTCTACCCTCTTTTCATCCACTCATAGAATGAAGTGTTTACTGGGGCACAGTCTAGCAAATCTCTGTGTTATGTGACACAAATAATGCAAACACATTCGGGACAATCTCTATCCTGCAGAGCATTAGTGATTTTACAAGCGACATCCACTACAGTTAAATGATGACTAAAGTCCCTTTCCGCTAGAATGTTAAATGGTTCTGTTAAAGTTTAGTTGAATATCTAACTTAGGGGTTTGGGTATAAAAGGCAATATTCTAGATTTAATTTTCTGGCAGGTCTTGTGTCCTTTGGTGAGGAGAGTGTGCAATCAGACTACGTTTCTCAGGAATAAGGATGTGGTTGCTGCCCCAGTCTTCATCTCCTTGTGGATAACTCTCTGAAGTTATATCACACACACTGTGAACAGTCCGTGAACGTGTATTACAGACACCTGGGGTTGGTTGATTTTTTTTTTTCCTTGAACCTTGACTCAATGAATAATAACGAGTTTGGGATTAATTTTAATGAGGTTGATAAAAACCTGCGCCGTTAATGCTTATATAGAATGTGGGCCTTAATATTGCCATGAGAATATCAGCAGAAATAAATAGTTTCTCAAGGCAGATGATAGGTCTTTTTCTCCTCCCTTCCTTTTAATTTACAGCTTACTGATGTGAAACCATGTTTAGATTATGTGGATACTAAAAGGAGTAGAAATATAAACATTATTCTCCCTCCCCAACTTTTTCTTGTGAAAATTTTCAAATATCCAGAAAAGTTGAAAGAATGGAATAACACCATAAAGGCCTGAATCCCTTCTCTTAAATGCAACAATTATTAACATTTTGCTACATTTACCTATTTATTTATTTATTTATTGCAGAGCCAGGTGAAAGACAGTTTTTAACATCATGGCATTTCACTACTAAGTACTTTAGTATGCAAAGCCTAAAAACAAGGACATTTACAATACAAAATACAATTATTACACTAAAGAAAATAAACAAAAACTCTGGAATGTCATCTAATATCCTGTTCATATTTAAGTTTTCCCAGTGCTTTAAGAATTATTCTTCATGTTCATTATACAGTTTTATTTTTATGTACTAGATGTGACTTTATTGATGGTTGGCTTCACTCTTTTGTCAGAAAGCAGGGCTTAAGAGACTATTCTAACACCAAAATTATCATTTTGGTAAATGTACCCCTAACCTCAGTTACTTGGATGCGTATTTTATTTGATAACAAAGTTAACCAGGTGAGATCACCAGAAGTCCATGCTGGTAACTGTTCATATGTGTAGATGCATAGCCAACTGTCAGCAAATGTTACTTTGAAATTTTTCCCAGGCCCAAATCCCCATGGACGCACTTTCGGGCAGACAACATCGGGGTCTCGATTGTCCTGTTGTTCATGCTCTAGAGCAGCTCCTGGCCCATGGGAAATTTCAGTTCCAGATTCTCGCTTCTCCCATCACCAAATACAGGTGAGATGCTCCTTAGACATTGTTGTGCAGATTAATCAGACTCAGACTAGAATTTTTACATGAAATGACATTCGCCCTGTAATCTGAGTGCTCAGTTGGTATTTTTAAAAGCACGTGGACGCGCCCTCAGGGAGTAGGACAGAGGCTGCACTGCCCGGCCGGAGCGCGCAGCCGTGCCCGTCGCTGCCACCTGGATGAGCAGGCTGCCCGCAGGGAAAGGCCCCTCTCACGGGGCTTGGCCGAGAGGGAGGGAAAGTCATGCACAGCCCTATAATGGCGTGTGCTCTGAAGAACAGAGAACACAGTCGGGCTGCAGAATGATGGGCAGGAGTGGGCCCTTTCAGGTGGGAGGCCGAGGAGGGCTCTCTGATAAGGTGTAGCTCGGAGCAGAGACAGGGAGGGAGCCGTCGGGAGGACACGGGAAAGAGTGTCCGGCCCTGCAGTGGGCCCGCCCAGCATATCTACAGAGGGGCAGACAGAGAGAGTGTCAGGGAGTCAGGGATAAGACGGAGCCTGGGCTGATGGCGTGAGGGCAGGCCATGCAGAAGTCCGGCAGGCCGGGAGGGCGGCCAGCGCAACCCACACTCGTAACTGAGTACGCTGCTGTGGCTGCTTGTCTGCGTGCTAATTTCCCTATGCTCCTTTTTGTTTCCTGCATTTCCCTGGGCTTTAAATTCTAATTTATGCATTCCTTATTGTATACACATTTTGGCAAGTCGTCTTAAGTCTTCTGTGGAATCTGACGAGACATATCTGCATGTGCACGTCTCTGTCCCTGCTGTCAGATCTCCATCTCTCGGTGCCTGCGTGCTAAAAACTGAAAAGTTGCACTGCTTGTTTGGGGCTAACATTACTGGGTAACCTGAGTAGCTATGTTAGCTCAAAACAGGCAAGAACAAAGTTCAGGCATGGAAACTCTATTTCTATTCAGAAGATAAGAAAATGCAGAATCCTAGTCGTAACTATGATCTCTTATTTAATCTAACAAAGAAAAAGACCCAATGTCTATCATAACAGGCAGTCCTAGTGTAAATATTATGGGCAAGCACTATGTCTCAAGTCACAATGTTGATCTCAAAATATTTCAAATTTTAACTTTAAACTTTTCATATTTTTCATACATAGTTTCCACAAACAAGCTCACTAACTCTGCTCATGGTAGCCCATTGAAAGTAGGTTGAGCGAATGTTTTAGTATACTAATAAATTTTTTTTTAAAGTTTAGCTTCAACCCAAAATGTGATGTTAAATCATTTAATATATTCAAGCATCCATATCATCAGGAAAAATAGAGTGGGTGTGAGAAGATACAAATGCTTTGTCAGTCCATAGGCTATTTACTGAATAATCTCATGGGTTATATATTATTTTTAAAATGTTTCCTGGAATGCCCTGTGTGAAAAGTGTAAAACTCCAGCACCCCTTCCCAATGGGGATTATTTGTTGCTGTGACTAGTGCTGATTGTCTGCTGATAGCTTTCCTTCCTTTCCCCTCCCCTCCCCTCCCCTCTCTTCCCTTCCCTTCCCTTCCCTTCCCTTTTTTTAGAGACAGAGTCTTACTATGCTGCCCAGACTGATCTCAAACTTCTGGGCTCAAGGGATCCTCCTGTCTCAGCCTCCCAAGTAGCTGAGACTACAGGCATGCCTCATTGTGCCCTGCTCTAATGCTGATAGTCTTAAACAGTCTTAGATTTTCATTGATTTTTAGGAGTCTTAATGTTTAAAAATGGGAACTTAAATTTATGCAAACAGCTGGGTGGCAGCTTAGGCCTTAAGTCACAGATTCCATGCTCAGAAAGGAGGCAGCATAAGACTTTCAGGTTGGCAGGAACATGCAAAAATGAGAGAGTCAGGAATGGGGCTGAGTATCAAGGCTGAGAAGGAATATATGGAGAATTCATGCTGGAGCAAGTCTCAGTGGGTATCTGCAGTCCGCTTGACTTTGTGGTGGAGAAGACCAAGTCACAGTGAGCACAGAGATGAACTGTGGCCACACAGCTAGGTCACCATATGCAGTGACAAGGGAGAAGTGACCATGGAGACAGTACGAGAAAGGATTTGCTTAGATGAACTTCCATGACTTTTGAACGACTGCAGCGGTGCTTGCTCATCTCATTAAATTTGGAAAACAAAAAGTGCACAAAGGAAATTAAAAGTCTATAATCCCATTCTGGAGAGATAATCACCACAAACATTTTTTATTTTCTCCTTTTAATGCCTGGGATTTGGGGTCTCCAGTAAAATCTGGATTTGATGATGGATTGTGAAATTTTCCCCAGTGTCCCATCCTTGGAAATCAAGGAACAGCATTTTCTGTGGGAAGACCAGTGTTAGCTTTCTGTCTCTCTCTCTCACTCACTCTCTCACTCACTCAACAGACATGTAGTGAGCATTTATCATATGCCAGGCTCTGTGTATGGCACTGGGAATACAAATATGAAGGAGACAGTGACAGTCCCTGATTTCATGGAGATTACATTGGAGCCAGGAAAGCACAATGAACACTTCGTTATAACTACGAACCAAGGAAGGGTATCGTGCAACTGTCCCCGGAGTTTCCTGACACTGTCCAGACAAAGCGAGGCTCATGCCAGCCTCAGCCTTGCTACTCAGAGTGGCTCTCAGATAGAAGATGAGCTCTGGGCACATGTTGGAAATGCAGAATCTCAGGCCCCACACAGCTCTACTAAATCAAAATCTGCTTTTTAACAAGATCCCAGGGGATTCCCAGGCGCATAAGGATGAGTAGCAATCAGCAAGCCAAGGCAGGGGTGGGGGCACTGCACACTGAAGGTCTGTCAGGCCTGAGCAGGGTCTGGGTGGGAAGGTATGTGGCACTTTGGGACGGTGAAGGAAGGCCAGTGTGTTGGACCAAGGCCAGGTGGGGCTGGTAGACTGGCAGGGGCCAGTCCAGCAGGGCCTTAGAGGCCTCCAGACCCTCCACGAGCCCTCAGTTTCCTCATCTGCAGAGGAACAATGATCTCATCCTCATCCCCTGGGGGCTGTTGCCAGGATCCCAGCAGTGAATGTGTCTGAAAATGCTCACGACTGTGAGATCTCATCACTGCTATCTGGAAGGGAAACAGAGGACAGCTGCGGGTTGTGGGATGCTCACCGGACTGCCTTACTGTGCCCCTGAGGTGAAACTCAAAATGCAAATCAGGATGCCCTTATGAATAGCTTGTCAATCAAGTGAGGTCCCAAAGCATGGGTGTGGGGTTACAAACAACCGGACCCGTGGGGCCAGGGGCACCCTGGGGCCCGCATCTCCTCTCTCACCCTGCCGTCACTCCCTGGCCCTAAGCAGTCAGTCTTACTTTTCAGACTCTAGCAGCGACGGGCTTCCTACTGTGCTGTCAGATGCCGGAGGAGTGGGTCCCCTAGGTGACCTGGAGGAATGACTCCAACCTTTGCCTTGTCTTCCTCTTCACTTTGAGGGCTAGGGAGAAAGGACAGAACTTAAAAAACTCTACCAAAACAAAACCACAACCAAGGAAACATAAACAGGACATCCCCTCAAAAGTAAGGCCTTGAATTTCCTGAAGTCTTTTATTCCCATTGTTTACTCTTATTGATCACACTGAAGTATCTGGTTTCCAAAGCTCTTACCTACAGCCAGGGCTCCTCCTCAGATACACCTTTGTAATTCTAGACAGGCTGGGAGGATGGGCAGGTGACCCAGAGAGCTCCTCTTTGTTGCGTGTTCACATCTACTGCGCAGCCTCCGGCGCTGAGCAGCTGCGGTGCAACAGGAAACCGCCCCGCCTCCTCAGGATCTGGCACTGACATTATGTAACACAGGTCCTCAAAGGTGTTTACAGCACACTTTCTTCCATATACCTTTTTATTTGTCCTCACAACATCTGGGGGCTTTTTAAATTTTTGTTTTAAATTCCCAATTCACAGAAAGACAAAAGTGAGCAGTTTGAGATTACGATTGGAGTTCTCCAGTGGCTGGGTAGGACAGGTAGTCAGAAGTTCTAATACTTATGTCAGAGATTCTTTCGCCATCATCATTGTCAGAAAACATTCAAATAACAGAAAAATACTAAGAAGAAAATATTAATAGCACTTATCCCTACCACCTAGAGCCAAGCACTGGCCTCTCCTTCCAGCCTCCCACGGCCTCTATTCCCTTAGAAAAAATTATACTAGTAACATATGCATTCATTTAATTTAAAATGTGTATAAGAACATTATAGATATAGCAAAAGTCCCTCTTGACACTGTTATCTTGATCTGTTCACCACTCCAGAAGCACCTTTATGTGTTTGGTAGGTATCTTTCCACATTTACTACTGCTTTGTCATATGTATCTATATTACCGACTGTAGTACCCATCAGCCATTTCCACTGGTATCTTATATCTGAGATCTATCCATACTTTTATAACTGATTCGTTTTTTGTGGCTGTATAAAATTCCATCATACTTACGTGTCATTAATTTATTCCTCCCCCTTTCGATCAACATTGAAGTCATTTCCAATTTCTCACTTTACCAAACAGTGCATCAGTGAATGTCCTTGTGCATTTTTTAGTGCATATATGGAAATGTTTCTAAGATTGAATTCTAGAAGAGGGAATTGTTGGGTCACAAGTTATGCACATTTTCAGTATTAACAACTACTGCTAACCTGCCTTCCAAAGAGCCTATTCCAACTGTTACACTCAAAATCAGTCTGTAAGGGTACGTGCCTCTTCATAACTTTGCGAAAGTTACTGTTCTTGTCAAACTCATCCAAGTATAAATTTCACAGGTTAAAAATATGCCTCTTAAATGTTTCTACAAATATGGAATGAATGTGCTAAAAAATGTATTCAACACATTAATAACAAGAAAAATTTTAAGATGAAGAAGCTGATTCAAAGATCATTTAGGGGACTGGGTTTATATAGTCCTTAAAAAGAGTCTTAAAATAAGATTGCTATTGAGATCAGCTTGAACAAGAGCTAGACTCCATCTCTACTAAAAATAGAAAAATTAGCTGGGCGCAGCAGTGCCCATCTGTAGTCCCAGCTACACGGGAGGCTGAGGCAGGAGGATCACTTGCACCTAAGAGTTTGGGTGTTGCCGTGAGCTATGATGATGCCACTGCATTCTAGCCTGGGTGACAGAGCAAGCCTCTGTCTCAAAAAAAACAACAAACAGACAAACAAACAAACAAAAAAAAAACATTGCTAGGCTAGATACAAGAATGATTAATCCTCTAGGGGGGCAATAAATCATAACCTTTGTTATTATCATTTCTTTGGGACAGAAATTATTTGCATCTCTACTAGGCACAAATCTACAAATTAATACATAACTTCACAGAGTCTGCCTTAGCCCTTCATTATTTGTAAGCAGCAACATTGAACAATGGTATGTTATACTAGAAAATTAAGTAATCCTTGGGCCTTTAAATGATGCTTCACTATGTCATTGAAAGGACACACTGGAAGGATGACTATTCTATCAGCCCTATTTTCAGATTTTGAATAATTTTTATTTAATGGATTTTTAAAATTCTGTATCAATCCAATGGACTAAAAACTGGCAGTTCATTGTGCTCTAATCTGAATTTCTGTAATTATTAGTGGCTTTGGGGCACTTGTTATTTTTACTTGGCCATTTAGTTTTCTCTAGTTCCAGGTCTCCTTAGAAAACAAGCATGACGAATACGAAAAACACTTTCTCCTCTTTAGTGACCAGAATACCTGGCACGAACTGAAAGACAGTGTCACAAAGTTAGGCCTCTCAGCCAACAGGAGAACCAAGACCTGTTTGTTCCTGGCAAGGACGCTACACAGTAAGGGCTGCTCCCCTAACAGACTCAAAACAGGGCCACACAGGTGGGGGGGGTACACACATACACCATGAGTGAGATGTGCGCTATGGGGGGTGGTCGTGCTGGAAACTCAGACTTGTGGGGGAGGGGCAAGGGCACTTATTGAAACCTTAAAATTTGTACCCCCATAATATGCCGAAATAAAAAAAAAAGAGGAAGAGACACCGAGTCTCTTTCTCAGTCCCATGGGCACACAGAGAAGAGACCATGTGAGAACACGACAAGAAGGTGGCTGTCTACAAGCCACAAACAGGCCTCACAAGAAACAAACCCTGCTGGCACCCTGATCTGGGACTTCCAGCCTTCAGAACTGTGAGAAAATAAAATGTCTTATTTAAGCCAAAAACAAACAAACAAACAAAAAAAAACCAGCGCCATAATTCTGGCCCTTAACGTCCTGGGGATGCTGCTCAGCTGGGGCAGCCACAGAAAAGCGTGTGAGGGGATGCGACTGCGGGCGGGAGCCTCCGGGGCTGCCAGCGCCCTCCCTCGCCCTGGCCCTGCCGACTCCGTGGGCCAGTCAGTCACCCAGCACCCGCCGACGGCCGGCACGGGTGGGGGACCGGACAGGAGATCGCCCCCTCCCAGCCCACACGGGAAAGGGGCGGCGGACCGACACAGGGAGGTGCAGGCAAGCCCAAACGAAGGCCTGGGAGACACGACACCCACCAGTCGCTGGCGCGGTCTCAACACACCGTGGCGTGGGGGACGCATCTGGTGGCTGCTGAGCCACCTGCCGTGGGCCTGTTTCTCGCGCCCGGTTCGCGACTTTCCGTTGCGCCGCAGGGCTGCGCGCCCGCCGGGCCCCTCGCCTCTCGCCCGCGCCTCCGGCCCCGCGAGGCCGCTCCAGCCACTTGTGGAACGAACCGCGGCTCTCAAACTGCCGCTAGAGATGGCCTTTCGACGAGGCACGGCCGAGTAACGGCGGCTGTGAATCCGCTCTCCCCAGCAACTGCGGGCCGTTCCCGTTCCCCGGGTCGGCTCAGGCTCCCAAAGGGCGCGCGGCTCGCCCGGGACGCCCTTTCCAAGGAGACCGCCCCCGCCACCGTGTTGTCCCACCTCCCTTGGCCGAGGGCGACCCCGGCGGAGCTCGTGAGGACCCCGCCCGGCCGCCCTGCCCGAGGTCTGCGCGTCCCGCCCGTCCTGGGCCGCGGCCCGGCTGCGGCACGACCGGAATGCTCCGGAGGACGCGGGCGGGACGCCGGCGCTGGGGGCGCGGCGGGCGGCCCAGCTGGGGGCGCGGCGGGCGGCGCGGACGCGAGGGCGAGGCCACCCCTCTGACGCCTGGCGCCCGGCCGGCCCTCGCCCCCGCCCCAGCACGCGCGCCCCGCCTCGGGACCCCCGCGACTGGCAGTCCCGCCTCCGCTCCCGCCCGGGCGGGCGCGCCGGCCCAGACCGCTGGAGTCCCGAGATCGCAAACGGAAAGAGAAAAAGTCTCCGCGAGCGGGGTCCGGTGCTTTTCGTCTCCGACCGCGGCCCAAGGGCCGGGCGGGCCGAAGCGGCGGCGGCGGGGCGGAGCGCTCGGCTCTCGGCCGCCTGGCGCCGGGGCCCCGCGCACGCAGCGGGCGGTACGGGCAGCGAGCGTGCGCGCGGCGCCGGACAGCCCCGCGCGGCCCGCGGCGGCGGTTACGGAGGCGGACCGGCTGGATCGACGGGCCGCCGGCGGGCGAAGGCTATAAAGCCGCCGCCCGCCCGGCCCGGCCCGAGCGACGCGGCCCCGCGCCACTGCGAGCGCGGGCGGCTCGCGGCTTCCGGGGAGTTCCAGGAGGGCCCCGGCCCCGGAGAGACCCGGACGGACCCGGCCCTGCGCAGAGCCGGCCCCGGGCATACCCCGGACGGAGCCCAGAGACCCAGACGCCCCAGACCCGCCCGCAGACCCGGCGGGCGGGCGGGCGAGCGGCGGGGCGGAGGGCGCCCCCGGCGGCGGGGCATGCGCGGCGCGCGGCATGGCCTCGGCGGTGTTTGAGGGCACGTCGCTCGTGAACATGTTCGTGCGCGGCTGCTGGGTGAACGGCATCCGCAGGCTCATCGTGAGCCGGCGCGGCGACGAGGAGGAGTTCTTCGAGATCCGCACGGAGTGGTCGGACCGCAGCGTGCTCTACCTGCACCGCAGCTTCGCAGACCTGCGCCGCCTGTGGCAGCGCCTCCGCGACGCCTTCCCCGAGGACCGGCCCGAGCTGGCGCGCGGGCCGCTGCGGCAAGGTGCGGGCCGGGCGCGAGGACGGGGCCGGGGTAGGGACGCGGGGGCGCGAGAGCTTTGCAGTGCGGCGAAGGAGGCTGGGAAGAGTTACTTAGACCGACCGCGACTTCTCTTCGCTCCCCCACCCCTGGCGCGGGCATGGACTGGGGACACTTAGACTCTGTGCCCCCAAATGATGGGAGCCGGTCTGTGAAGCCCGGAGGCTTCCCAGGGGTGGGAGAGGGCCCGCGGCCGCAGGACAGGCGCCCTGACCGTCCCCAGGGGCGAGCCCCTTCTCAGAGAGGCGCGGCCGAGAGGGGGGCCCAGGCTGACCAGCGCGAGTGGGGCGGCCAGCTGGGCGCCGCCCCTGCCCCGGGTGGTGGGCGCCCGTCCCGGGAGGGCTGGCGGGGGGCGGCGGGGATACTGGGGAAGCGCTTGGGACCAGGTGACTACAATGTCTGAATTGGGGTTAGCGTCGGTGCGCCGCCGGCCGCGCCTCTGGTCTCCTCTGGCGACAGCTGGAGTCTGGGCGCGAGGTGCCACGCAGCCCTTCCCTCCCTGCTCCGGAGGGGGCCGCCCCGCCGGCGGCTACAGGGGACAGCCCGGGGTCCCCACCCCAGGGCTGAGTCCTCATTTGGGTTTAATTAGGGTCAGCCGCCTCCTGCCTGGCCTTGTGAGTGGTCTGGCTCAAGGGACTCCTGTTTCAGAAACTGCGTGGCTTCCCATTTCTTACCGCCCTGCCACGGCGGCCCTCTGGAGCTGGGCGGAGAGGGGCTGGAAGAGCGGAGAAAAGAGAGAGGACCGAACTGGAGACGGGAAGATTTCGGGGTGGGGTGGCAAGCTGGAGAGAGGGTCCTCCTGCGAGGGCCAGGCGAGGAGAAGGGGCAGGGAAGGCTTATGGGCTTCTGAGCAGAGCCCCTCCTCCTGGTGTGGGGCCACGTGCGGCCAGAGCGTTAGGGACACTCGCACGGAGGCCTTCCGTTTTGCGTCCTCTGAGCGAAGACCGCTGGACCCTTGGGTGGGAGGTATGGAATGCGAGGGTGGCCATGCAAGTCTCCTTAGCGCCAGTCTGGCTGAGGTCCGAGATAACCTCTGCTTTCCCCTGGGGACAGGCCCACACCCCAGTGTGTGAATTATGTGGATAATTAGCTCAGTTCTCATGACACATCCTCTGGAAAGGCTCCCCAAGCCAGCGGGTTGGGCCCCGAGAGAGAAGGCCTGCCTTCGGGCTTCCTCCTGCTCCCTGCCCATGTGCGCACATTGCAGGGACAGTCTGGTGTTATTTCAAGCATGGAAGGAGTTTTCCTTGGATTCACTATTTGTTACGATATTTTAAATCTAACAAATAAATGCCCAAATCAGGAAAGCATCATGAAGGAACACAGTTTATTCAGTAACTCTTCCGGAATAGGGCAGGCCACAAACACACTGGAGGCCCTGGGCCTCACTCTGGGCTGGTGTCTGGGCTGAGCCGTGACCCTAGCAGACTGGTTGCAGTTGGCTCCCCATTTGGCTCATCCCGTGTGGCACCTCACCCGTAACATCGTACCTATGGCCTCTGCCTTTTGTGGGGAGGGTCTAAATGTAAGCCCTTCACAAGTGCCACTTGTCATTGCTATTGCCAGTATCAGCTGCTTCTGGCTGGGGCTGTTGGCAGGTGATGAGAGAGGGGTGTGGGTGCGGATGCCTTGGGACGCGGGTGGAAATGCCTTGCCTCGTAGAGCAGACGGGAGGGGGCGAGAGGCACTCTGCGCGCCTGCCCGGCTCCGGCTCCTGCACGCATGCAGTGCAGGGCCGAGGTGTGGATGCACTGAGAGCGCAGACGTGGAGATTACCGTGGAGAAAAGAAGACTCAGAGGGATGTGGTAGCTGCCATCAAGTACCTAAAGGAAAACAGAAATCAGAAGTAGGAGGGGATGTGAGAGTGGCCAGGCTGGCAGGGGCGGTTAGCGTGGGACCAGTGGGTGGGTGTAAAGGACTTCCTAACAGCCCAGGATGGAACTCTTAGAACTGTTCCTCGGCTAGTGGTGCGTCCTGTTCGTTGGAGGCCTCCTGCAAGGGCCTGCCCAGCACCCCCTGGAAGGGGTGAAGAAGGGAGCCTGGGACCAGAGGGGCGTGACTCAAGCCCTGTCTCCATTCTAGCCTTGCTTCTCTGTGTGGAGGCAAGCTGATCCCTGCCTGGCACCCCCTGAGTTTTGTTGTGCAATGCCAGGTGAAGTCCTTTCCTTTCTTTGATCCTTTTAAGTCCAGGGAAATTGTTTGCTAAATAAAATACATCATAGTAATATAAAAAAAGATTCCACCTTATTTCCATGCAGATTTATTATTTGCATGAAAAGATTGTCTGGATATATAAACTAGAAGCACAAAAGGCAACCAGATGTGTGTATTGTACTGTCTTGGTCATGCCAGCTTTTTCAGTATAATTCTACATCAGATTTCCTAGTTTATATTTACGGAACTATTTCTGAATTAAATTTGCACTCTAGTTTCATTGAAAAGCATTGTGAGGAAATAAATCTGGGTTCTGAGCTTCTGCTGGCAGTGGGCTGGCAACTCTTCTAAGTGTCTGTGTACCCTTCAAGGGTGTGCAAGCCTTGGCCCCCACTTGCATTTTTGAATCTGCATGCAGTTAAAGGGATGCTGAGCCCTTTTTCTCGGTCCCCCGGGTATTGCAGTGGGGGAGAATATTGATATGGAGAGAACTGTGCTTTTTCTCTCTGCACACACTCTGTGGTGTTTTGCTTGGCAGCCACCCATGGGCCTTGTATGTGTCACGGTGACACATCTGCAGGGATATTTAAACCTCTGTCTGGGGTAGAGGCACAGTGTTCACTCGCTTTATTGGCCTTCCATTTGGGTGAGGTAGGGCGAGGCTCACCTAAGGGCTTGTCTAGCTTCTGTCCTCCAGTCTCTTTGGCTGCACTCTCCGGCTCGCGCCTGACCCACTTCTTGATGTGGATCTGATACACCACGTCTTTCTTGTCCCACAGCACTACAGGAGGGAGCTACCTGCTTCCTGGGGGTTAGCAAGGTGTTTCCTTCTCGATTCTTCTGCACTCTAACACCAGTGGGCTTAGGTCTTAATTTAAATCTTCTCTGTTCATTACCTAACATGGTTCATGGGTGCTCTTTATTTATATCTCTCACATCCAGGGACCCCACCCACCCCAGGGCAGGAGGGGGCCCGAAGGGTGAGCAGGAGTAAGGAGAAGAGAGGGAGAGGGATGGGGCGCATGGAGGCCCCAAGGAGCCCCTGACGGCAGGCCAGGGCCGGGTGGGGAGAGCCAAGACCAGACAGCCGGGCGGTGAGGCCCTAGCGCTTGCCACGAGGGGCCAGTGGGCCATGGCTTCCCATGAAGGTCCCCGCCATGGAAGCTCTGGGCACTTGGCGATTCTATTTCTCAGGGTAATACAGGCTCCGGCCCCAGGATTCCACAGGATCCAAGCCTGACCCACACTAAGCACCCAACTCTGGTTTTCAAACCAACAAAGCCACGGGCTTTGTTGTGTGTCTTCCTAGTCCCTAGACTTTGCCTGGCAGGTGACACTTTCTGGTCAGCGTTTGCCTCCTGCCAGCCCTCCTGGCTAGCATGAAGGCTCTGGGAGGCCGGGGTCCTGCCCCCAGTGTCCCCGACAGGTGGCTGGCACAGAGGAGGAGGTCCAAGGGCCCGGGGGCAGAGGGAATGAGGAAGTGCTCCTGTGAGAGCCGCAGGCTGGTGCCCTGGTAGCTCTGATGCAGACTGGCTCAGTGTTGAGTGTGAAGTTTAGGAAGTGGAGTTGGCGTTTAGTGGGCAAAATAATAAAGGGGCCGAGAGAAGGAAGCAGTAGCGGAAGAGCAGAGCAAAGGTCGCTCCTCTCTGGAAAAAGGCACCCGCCCGGCGCAGGAAGCAGAGCACGGAAGGCGGCTCCCCTCCTGGTCCTCGGTGTTCTCTTCCTCCCTCCTCCGACTCTTCCTCCTGCATTTTCTGTGTTCTCTCTCTTGGGAAGATGCAGAGGAGAAAGGGCTGTGGCTCCCTCCCGCCCCGTGCAAGCGCTGGCGGCAGGGCGGAACGGCCCCGCGGAGCCCTGGCGTGTGGCCCTGCGGGGCGGTGGAGAGCTGCTCTGTCCTGCCCACGGCTGCAGCTCGCTCTTGTCCTGCAGCAGTACCGTGCGACACCCCACAGCTGGAGACGTGCGTGTCTCAGAGGGTAGCCTTGGTTTTCCAGGAGTTAGAATTCCCATCGGGTTGCTTAATTATGCAAAGAATAACGGGCTTATCATTTCTTACTTTCTTCTTCAGTATTTCTGTCTAGAAAACAGGTACTTAGGAAGTAAGTATTGAAAGTTTCCCTAAAAAACAGAAAATATTTTGTTTACAAAACGTGCACGACACTGAGCCTCGGAAGAGTGCGTGTTTCTTGGGCAGCACACGATGACTGCCCATCCCGCGCTCCACCCAGCAGCTCGCATCTGTGCAGCCTGGGGCTGGACGCGTTTGTTAAACGGAAAGGACACAGTTTAAATGTGATTTGTCACCTGACTCAGTTTGAAAGTGCGCTGTGTAGATGTCCCCAGGGCTGGCTGCCGTGGGAGTTGTGCAGCGACCTCTCTCCTCCTAAGAGAGGCCTGTTCCTGGGTAATGGACATTCCTGACTGTTCCTCCTCTCTGCTGGGCCCAGCAGCATCTAGTCTTTATTCCCGGACGACAGCGGAAGAACCACTCGAGTTAGAGTCCGACCACCGGAGCCCTCTGTGGAGGAAGCTGGGCACAGCTTCCGAAGTGTTCAGCCCAAGCCTCTACTTCCCAAAAAGGAGGACTCTGGACCCAGGTTTCTGAGACTACGAAACCGCGTTTGTTTATGTGTGCTCTCACCCACGCATCTGTGTGCTGATGCCAGCGTGTCATGCTCAGTTAGGGTTCTAAGAATAAACCAGGTGTTTGTGTTTGCAGAAACCAGCTAACCCCGAAACTGACAGAAACATTTGGTGTCCTCGGTTGTCAAGGCCAACCTCCTTTAGGAGGGACGAGAGGGCACCCTGG